ATTTCATAAAGCCCTAAATATGTCATTTTTGTTATACATTTGAACATACTGAGAGCATATTGACATATTGTGTCATATATAGCAAGATATGTCTCTCTCTCTTTTTTAACTGGTTTTGACAAGGTCATAAAAAGGTTTTAGATTTACCTTCATAAAACCTGGAGAATGGAGAATGACTGTTACCAAAAAAGAGAACCATATTTGTATACAATAATTAAGACCCGTTTAAACCCATTCCTTTTATTTGTCTCAGTTGCTTCTACTACAGGTCCCTCTGCGTGCTACAACCAGTCTCCAGCATATCCTCAGATTTCATCCAAAACGACTGATCTCATAACTCCTTCTACAGCAAAGCTGAAACCTGTAGAGGAACTCAAAGGCTCTGCTCCAGTGGCTCCTCCAGCCAAATTGTTTTCTATTGGACTGTCTGGAGATTCTGCTAAGAACACCGAGAGCACTGATGTCAGCTTGAAGGGCTTCACATCCGGATCTCAAAAACCAGGTTCTTTTGGGTTTGGATTGAAGGATGCTGTGGTGACATCTGCTGGCCCTGTAGCTCAGGCTGAGAAGAAAACAATTCAGGCTGATGCACCACAACATAAGAAAGTGTCAGCAGCTCCAGCGGTCCCATGTGACACTGCCCCCTGCAGCACTGAAAAAAGTCATGCAGGAGGGTTATTTTTGGCTAAAAAAGATGGACAGAGGGATGGTGACACTTGCCTAGGAGGAAATAAGGCTACATCTAGCCACAGCATTTTGTGTCAGACGGCAAAACCAAGAATGAAAAACAAGACTTCTGCTGCTCCGTCAAGTTCCTCTTTTACCTCCGGTTTTAGTAGTTCTGTCTGCCAACCTGCTGCGACAGCATTTAAAGCCAATCCAGGCAATGCTTTTCAGTTCAGTACAAGAACTGATAAAGCATCCTCAGAAGGCTTCAAGATTGAGTCTTCTACAACTGAGGCTGAAAAGTCATCAAGCCGTTCAAATGTTTCATTTTCCATGCCAGTGTCCGTTGGTGCATTCAGCTCAGCTACTGCAAAATCTGAGGCAGAAACATCAGACAAACAGTCTCAAAATGGATCTACATCAGACCTCCTCAAAAATGTTGCTGAAGTTCACAAAGAGGAAGTAGATGCTTGCGCTCACGATATTGGTAAGCCCATAAATTCAAGCCGGGCTGTGATAACAGTGTCATATCTGGATGTTCTGGTGAAGTGTCAATCATATGCAAGATTTCTCCAGTCATTTAGTGCACTTAAACTCCTGAAAGCGCACGCTCATTTGCATATGCTTTTGATTGCCATGCCTAGCATCCACAGCTTCTAACTAAATAAGACGGTCTGTGTCATTATGTGAAATGATTCACCTCAGATATACACCAGTGTATTTTCACTCTGTTGCACAGATGAAGGCTCTGAAAGTGCAGTGAGGAATCTGAAGGGAAAGCCGGATGTGGATGGAGCCGATGGAGCGTCTGATCATGGTAGGTTGCTCTTGTGAAATGCATTACTGAGACTGGTTCAGGTCTCAGGGCTCGACAGTGAGGTCTGGCCATGGCTGGGACGGTCGACTGAACTATACTGGCCCGGCCGGGTTTAGCATTTGCACGTTTTTCAGTCTTGCCAGTTTAAACATTCAAGCACAGGAGTAGCTTGACTTTGGAGCTCCGGGGGCCAAACCTCACTCCATATTGAAGTGATTGTACTATGATTACATAGATCGGCAGCAAACATGTGAGGTTGTCACGGCAACCAGAACATTGCATGCAAATTACTTTTGTTGTCTATTTTTGCTGTGCTAAACTTTATTTTATTTTATTCTTATGACAAGGCAAAGTTCAATGAGAGCAGTAATATATATATATAT